TTCATAAATGAAAATACGGGAACCCATCCTTAAAGTTAGTTGATGGAAACATACTCATAACTTCCTGGTGCTAATGTTTATAATTTTAATGTTCTCCCATTGTCTTTGAAATTTTCAATCGGTTATTCTTTTTATTGACATTTCTTATTGAATTATAAACTGGAAAATATTTAAATCCTAATTTATATTTTTTATTTGAATCAAGTTCACATTCCATTAACCTTAAATTATAGGTTAATCTATTTAGATCTAATTTTAAAAAATTCTTCGTCCATGTTTTTGTAAAATAATGACTACATCGAAAAGTCCAAAACATTTTTATAATCGTCTTTACCTATGATTCCTTTTTCTAATAATCTTTTTAAAATGGCGTGAATTTAATTGAAATGAGATTGATGTCCATGTTTTATTTAAAAAAATTGTAAATATAACGAAAGATAAATTCATTAAGGTAGATTCAGATGAATGGATTAAAGAATTATTTAATGATAAATGCAATCCTAATGGCAATAAACTTCGAACCTATCGCCAGTATAAATCAAACCGTATGTGAGAATCCTATGTTTCAAATGAAAATATCTCCAGGGCAACCAGAAGGTTAATAAGTCAATTGAGAAGTGGTTGTCTCCCTTTGGCAATTGAAACTGGTCGTTACGCTAAACCAAAAATACCGCTTGAAGATCGAACATGCAAATATTGTAATGAAGATGTCATTGAGGATGAACTTCATTCATTTATAGTTTGCCCAGTTTATAATGATTTTAGAATTGCACTGTTTGATAAGTGTTTAAGTATTAACCCCGATTTTAACCGACTGCCTTTGTTAAATAAATTTTATTTTATAATGAGTTCCGCTGGAACACAAATTCAATTAGGAAATTTTTTTAAATGACATGTATTCAAAACGAAAAGACCTGTAAGCAGCATAAATATTTAGTACAAATGTGTTAGCTGCCTTCAAGCTAAGAAGCTAGGCCATTATGTTTTCAAGGTAAGAAGCTAGGCCATTTTGTTTTCAAGCTAAGAAGCTAGACCATTTTGTTTTCAAGCTAAGATGCTAGACCAATTTGCCTTCAAGCTAAGAAGCTAGATCATTTTGTTTTCAAGCTAAGTAGCTAGGCCATTTTGTTTTCAAGCTAAGAAGCTAGGCTATTTTGTTTTCAAGCTAAGTAGCGAGATCGTTTTGCTTTCAAGCTAAGAAGCTAGACCATCTTGCCTTCAAGCTGAAAAGCTAGATCGTGTTGCCTTCAAGCTAAGTAGCTAGACCATCTGGCCTTCAAGCTGAAAAGCTAGATCATTTTGCCTTCAAGCTAGGAAGCTACACCATTTGCCTTCAAGCTAAGTAGCGAGACCATCTTGCCTTCAAGCCCAAGAATCTGGACCATATTGTAGCTACATCTGACGTAAATTAACATCTTCACTGCTGAACATCATTTAAATTGTATAGAAAAATTTTATAATAGTTGCTCTTAACTCTCCTCCCATAATGTGCCGATTTACTTTATATATAATAGACATAAAAGAAATGATAAAATGAACTTTATGGTTGAAAAAATAATTAAAAGGAGAAATAAGTTCCCTACTTGAAAAATAATACGAACAACTTATAATGGAGAGCACAGTAAGATGACCTCTTTAGAAATATAGGTAAAATTTTTATGACAGCTCGTAATTCGTAACATCCTAAATAACCTATGTTACATTTGATAGTATTGCATGCATGGATGATACTGCCTTGGTTAAAGAGACATTCTGCTTTTTTTGTAGGTCCAATTTTTTTTGCTAAAATTTGTGAAATCTATTCACCAAAATTTAGAGAAATGCGCCCATTAATGTATCTGGAACTTTTAACTAAAAAAATTCCAGCCGTTAATTTTTTAAACGCCAAATATATTTACAAACATTACGTAAGGTTTTTAAGTTCGTTATGCTTTTTGGACGCTGTTAGAAAACTACTCTACGGATTTAAGTAAAATAAACGCCTAATTGTAGAGAAATATGTCTCCTACTTATTCTGAAGGTTTCTACTGATAATATCGAGCCACTATAAAGCCAAACTCCAAAACTAGATCAAACTGTTTAATTAACAATTCGTACTCTCTATTTTTAATTAACATTTTAAAACCAATTTAGTTTGATCAAGAAGATGCATAGATATAAATAGCATACTTTAGAAATATTTTCTGGTATAATTTACGACATACTACATCCCCTTTATAATGAACCCGCCCTGCAGATTAAAGTCTTCTCAAATATCAGTACTATAAAATATAAAGCCAACCACAATAAGCAATTTCTCGTCTTCTGTAGTCATAAATTTGTCTATTCTGATTCGATCAAGTAAAGTATTTTATAAATGTTATTGACATATGTGTTTTGAATAGAAATTTTAATCATGTGAGCTTTTACATGCTGTCACCTAGTTTAATTTATCCATATTTATGTCTGATATAACTTCACACATGGATGAATATGTAGTTTTCTCATAGCATGAATATCATGATTAAACCAACAACACCAAAGTTACAAGATTTACAGTATTTGATTTGGTTTGGTACAACTATCATAACTCGTGTACATATTATTGGTTCTATTATATTAAACAAGAAACGAAACATTGTTTATAATATAAACTGTATGACTAGCATTACAAAAAAACCCCTACCAAGATTTTGTATTTATGTGTAATAGTTAGATTAAGAAACATTTTCCAGGTGGAGAAACATAACAATAATAAGGACTTTACTCGGCAACCTATTTAGCAATAAATACAAAGTAAGCTACAAAAAGCTAATTTTCAATAGGATATATATACAGAGCGAAATTTAAATATAATCTTAAGTAATAAAAAGAATACAAAAAAATGAATTGCAAACGTAAAATAATTCACTAAGATTAAAATTAAAGACAAAAAAAATAATCAAATTATGAAGTCTAATTTTCCAATTAAAACAGATAAAGAATCAGAATAATTCATAAGTATACGTATCAGATATAAATTTAGTATTGATACAAATGCGGGCTTTATTTCAGCTATGAAACTGATAAAAATGACTTTATTTCAGAACTGATAAAAATAATGACTTTATTTCAGCTATGATAATTAATAAAAGAAAACCGTATTTGTAAATTAGAAATAATGTAATCAAATCTCTTCGTAATTAGCTAATTATGAATTAATTATTGACTTGTGAGACAAACTGGTATTTTTCCCAAACATTAGAACACCTTTGCTTTCGATTTATATAAGCATTAGCCGTCCAATAATGGAATATATATATATATATATATATATGAATCAGGGCATTGAGAAGGATGTTAGGTGACATTCGCCAAACGGCCACACTGGTTTTTAATTTTTGAAAAATACAAAATAATTCTAAAAAAATTCAAAAGAAAAAAAACGATTCAAAAAATAAAATAAATTAAATGAGTGGAATGAGAAAAAAAAAAGAGAAACATTTATTTAAATGGACTTTAGTTAAGTTACATGTGAATATAAACATTTGATTTTAGCATTTCAATCATTATGTTGTTTGAATTATAAGTACATGTAGTAGGTAATCAGATATTTTACATTTGTCTTTGAACCAGGGTATTAGACAAGGAACAAGTTGTTCCATTTTCAAACCACCAGTTGACCTTCCAGGTAACTCATTGCGTCGAGCATTCAGTATGGAGGTCAATATGCGCCATTAATCTATGCTCTACCTATTGACCTCCATACTGAACACTCGACGCAATGAGTTTCCTGGAAGGTCAACTCATGGGTTGAAAATGGAACAACTTGTTCCTTAATCTCACTCTAAAAACTACTACTTTCTTCAGGATTTTATATTGGTTTCATTCGTGTACAATGGGATCCATTGAGCTGCGGCTCTGGGAAATGGAGGGGAAATATATTGGAACGTTGAAATTTATAGAGTTCTTTTGGATCATTTCTAATCGAGGCGGCTAGTTCACTGAAACCACTCTTTGAGACTATTAGAACCTTACATTTGGACAGTATTATTTGATCAACTACTGCAGTCTCGAACCCAAGGCAGTCCGCATCCATTCCTTTTTGTCTGTCAATGTGTAGGATTTTACCCTCGGAATCAAAATAACGCTTACCGAATCGCCGCCGTGCTGTATTTCGAACTTCGATATTGTCAGTTGCGATAAATATTTTATTTGCTGTGTCCAATTTATCCATAAATTCCCAAAGTTTTGGCACATTCGTTATGTTATTCTTCGATGCATCGTTGGGCAAATTTTCACTTTGTCCGATCCGGACATGCGCACAAGTCATATTTTCTCGCAGAGCGATTGTTTTTAAACGATTGATCACGTGACGTGATGGTTTCATCAATGATTCCCAAATAAGTTTAAAAATTTGGGTTCGTGTCGTTCCACCTTTAAGATATGGGGGTAATTTATGCTCGATTTGACGATATACGTCACAATATAGAAGAGTACTAGATTTTAAATATATCACCTCGGCTGTTTCGTTTGACAAATCATATATTCCTCTATGCATAAACTTGATGATTTTCTGTGATTTCCCGACCAGGGCACTTTCAGCAATAATCCAGTTGTATTTATTTGGAATAAAAAATTGTCTAATATCACAAGGTGTAGACATGATGATTCCAAACTTTCTATCCAGCTGAAGCGCAACCATGAAGGCGTAAGCTATTCCCCGCTGCCGATCACTTAATCCACCACAAAGTTTTCTACCATCACAAAGGTACATCAAAAATTTTTCAGAGTTTGCTGTTTTCAGTGCCTTTGTAGCTTTCTTGGCACTTTGTCTACGTTTTAAAACTTGTGTGGCATGGAGACCACTACTGGAACTGTAGTTTGATTTCTTGGTAGCTAGGATACCGGACACAGTAGGTGACCTCTTCTCGTTTTTAGAGAAAAATTCTATCTTTGGTCTAACAAGGGATTGTGAGGGAGATGTTAAATACAAATATATGACTGTTGGTAATATTATCAATATAAAGAGTTTCGTGGTTTTCCTCAACATCTTTCAGTCTGAAATGATAGAAATAACAATATTAAAAACATCCTTTAGTCTAAAATGATAGATATAACAATATTAAGAACATTCTTCAGTCTGAAATTATAGACATAACAATATTAAAAATATCCTTCAGTCTGATATTATAGAAATAACAATATTAAAAACATTCTTCAGTCTGAAATTATAGATATAACAATATCAAAAACATTCTTCAGTCTGAAATTATAGAAATAACAATATTAAAAACATCCTTCAGTCTAAAATTATAGAAATAACAATATTAAAAACATCCTTCAAACTGAAATTATAGATATAACAATATTAAAAATATCCTTCAGTCTAAAATTATAGAAATAACAATATTAAAAACATCCTTCAGTCTAAAATTATAGATATAACAATATTAAGAACATTCTTCAGTCTGAAATTATAGACATAACAATATCAAAAATATCCTTCAATCTGAAATTATAGAAATAACAATAATAAAAACATCCTTAGTCTGAAATTATAGAAATAACAATATTAAAAATATCCTTAGTCTGAAATTATAGACATAACAATATTAAAAACATTCTTCAGTCTGAAATTATAGATATAACAATATTAAAAACATTCTTAGTCTGAAATTATAGATATAACAATATTAAGAACATTCTTCAGTCTGAAATTATAGACATAACAATATTAAAAATATCCTTCAGTCTGAAATTATAGAAATAACAATATTAAAAACATTCTTCAAACTGAAATTATAGATATAACAATATTAAAAATATCCTTCAGTCTGAATTATAGATATAACAATATTAAAAACATCCTTCAAACTGAAATTATAGATATAACAATATTAAAAATATCCTTAGTCTGAAATTATAGATATAACAATATTAAAAATATCCTTAGTCTGAAATTATAGACATAACAATATTAAAAACATTCTTCAGTCTGAAATTATAGATATAACAATATTAAAAACATTCTTCAGTCTGAAATTATAGATATAACAATATTAAAAACATCCTTACTCTGAAATTATAGAAATAACAATATTAAAAATATCCTTTAGTCTAAAATTATAGATATAACAATATTAAAAACATCCTTCAGTCTGAAATTATAGACATAACAATATTACAAACATCCTTCAGACTAAAATTATAGAAATAACAATATTAAAAACATCCTTCAGTCTGAAATTATAGAAATAACAATATTAAAAACATTCTTCAGTCTGAAATTATAGAAATAACAATATTAAAAACATCCTTCAGTCTTAAATTATAGAAATAACAATATTAAAAACATCCTTCAGTCTGAAATTATAGACATAACAATATTAAAAACATCCTTACTCTGAAATTATAGAAATAACAATATTAAAAACATCCTTCAGTCTTAAATTATAGAAATAACAGTATTAAAAACATCCTTCAGTCTTAAATTATAGACATAACAATATTAAAAACATCCTTCAGTCTGAAGTTATAGAAATAACAATATTAAAAACATTCTTCAGTCTGAAATGATAGACATAACAATATTAAAAACATTCTTCGGTCTGAAATTATAGAAATAACAATATTTAAAACATCATTTAATCTGAAATTATAGAAATAACAATATTAAAAACATTCTTCAGTCTAAAATTATAGACATAACAATATTAAAAACATCCTTTAGTCTGAAATTATAGATATAACAATATTAAAAACATTCTTCAGTCTGAAATTATAGAAATAACAATATTAAAAACATTCTTCGGTCTAAAATTATAGACATAACAATATTAAAAACATTCTTCAGTCTAAAATTATAGATATAACAATATTAAAAACATCCTTTAGTCTGAAATTATAGAAATAACAATATTTAAAACATCATTTAATCTGAAATTATAGAAATAACAATATTAAAAACATTCTTCAGTGTAAAATTATAGATATAACAATATTAAAAACATTCTTCAGTCTGAAATTATAGACATAACAATATTAAAAATATCTTTCAGTCTGAAATTATAGATATAACAATATTAAAAACATCCTTCAGTATGAAATTATAGACATAACAATATTAAAAACATCCTTCAGTCTGAAATTATAGAAATAACAATATTAAAAACATCCTTCAGTCTGAAATTATAGATATAACAATATTAAAAACATCCTTCAGTCTGAAATTATAGAAATAACAATATTTAAAACATCCTTTAGTCTAAAATTATAGATATAACAATATTAAAAACATCCTTCAGTCTTAAATTATAGATATAACAATATTAAAAACATCCTTCAGTCTGAAATTATAGATATAACAATATTAAAAACATCCTTCAGTCTGAAATTATAGAAATAACAGTATTAAAAACATCCTTCAGTCTGAAATTATAGACATAACAATATTAAAAACATTCTTCAGTCTGAAATTATAGATATAACAATATTAAAAATATCCTTCAGTCTTAAATTATAGATATAACAATATTAAAAACATCCTTCAGTCTGACATTATAGACATAACAATATTAAAAACATTCTTCAGTCTGAAATTATAGATATAACAATATTAAAAACATCGTTCAGTCTGAAATTATAGATATAACAATATTAAAAATATCCTTCAGTCTGAAATTATAGATATAACAATATTAAAAATATCCTTCAGTCTTAAATTATAGATATAACAATATTAAAAACATCCTTCAGTCTGAAATTATAGAAATAACAATATTAAAAACATTCTTCAGTCTGAAATTATAGAAATAACAATATTAAAAACATCCTTCAGTCTTAAATTATAGATATAACAATAATAAAAACATGGTTCAGTCTGAAATTATAGACATAACAATATTAAAAACATCGTTCAGTCTGAAATTATAGATACAACAATATTAAAAATATCCTTCAGTCTTAAATTATAGATATAACAATAATAAAAACATCGTTCAGTCTGAAATTATAGACATAACAATATTAAAAACATTCTTCAGTCTAAAATTATAGACATAACAATATTAAAAACATCCTTCAGTCTGAAATTATAGACATAACAATATTAAAAACATCGTTCAGTCTGAAATTATAGATATAACAATATTAAAAATATCCTTCAGTCTTAAATTATAGATATATCAATAATAAAAACATCCTTCAGTCTGAAATTATAGAAATAACAATATTAAAAACATTCTTCAGTTTGAAATTATAGAAATAACAATATTAAATCATCCTTCAGTCTGAAATTATAGATATAACAATATTAAAAACATCCTTCAGTGTAAAATTATAGATATAACAATATTAAAAACATCCTTTATTCTGAAATTATAGAAATAACAATATTAAAAGCATCCTTCAGTCTGAAATTATAGAAATAACAATATTAAAAACATTCTTTAGTCTGAAATTCTAGAAATAACAATATTAAAAACATCCTTCAGTCTCAAATTATAGAAATAACAATATTAAAAACATCCTTCAATCTAAAATTATAGACATAACAATATTAAAAACATTCTTCAGTCTAAAATTATAGATATAACAATATTAAAAATATCCTTCAGTCTTAAATTATAGACATAACAATATTAAAAATATCCTTCAGTCTGAAATTATAGATATAACAATATTAAAAACATCATTTAATCTGAAATTATAGACATAACAATATTAAAAACATCCTTCAGTCTGAAATTATAGATATAACAATATTAAAAATATCCTTCGCCAGGGTCACTGAATTCCTTTGCCACTGATAGGTTAATCTGATAGAATTTATCAAAGGTCCCGCTGCAATTTTGCACCATGACAAAACCAAAGATGCTTTTAAATCCATTTGAAACAAGATAGTTCAATAATTAAGCCTTGTTTTTGGCTTGGAGATATAAATATGTCTAGTTTTGGTGAAAATAATGAATACTTACAGATTGTTTGCCTTAAGACTTCAAAAAATTAATCACAAAACTATTTATCAAATAACAAGAATAAAACTGATATACATGGATATCTACCAAAACCAATGTTCGCATCAAAAGGACAAAACTAATATAATATATATAATATAACATAGAAAACCCGATTCGTTGCGTTTTTGCAAAGAGCAATTTCAACAAGGCTATTACATGATTTGAACGTTTTTCACGTGTTATTATTTGTCGAGAACAATATCAGGAGTTCTGATGTAAAGCTACTAGGTATTGTATAATTTCTTAATCAAATATCCAAAATAGTGATTAATGACCACTAGTAACATGCACAATCAAAACAGATACACCATTTTTACTGTTGAATAATATATTTTTGTTTACCTACATTTTCAATACTAAATATTTCCTTCAGTGTGTATATTTACACACTATCTTGTGCCTTATAAGAAACATGGTATAATACCTAATGAAGCTGAATGCAAGATTGAATAATGTCCCTATCGACACTACATATAGTTGTTGAAAAACTTCTTTATTCTAATCATGTCTACAGGTAAAATATCTCTAGACAGGGCAACAATAAACTAAAATTCCTCTTTTGAGTGCACAAAAAGTTCGTTTACCGTCCCCCACTTCGTATCTCATGGAGTGTACAGTTAGCGCTGTGGCGGATATAATGACACTGACGGATTTTGACATCTCCATTGTGCTTTATGTGTAAATCAGTGGCTCGTGTTCTTTAAGTATAAGTTTGAAACAATATCTCACTAGGATGTGAATGGTGGAGAAATCTTTTCTCAAGTGGGGAAGTGGATCGTCAAGAAGTTAAATGTGGACTGGACGAATCCGACTAATGAATTTGAGCAACCTCCATTCACTGACGACATTTTGTTCGTCGGAAATTTCAGTAAAGAAAGAAAGATTTCATTCTATTGAATACTCTCTACGGATTCGACGGGGAGGTCTCCGTGGAGAGCAAAAGGAAAAAAAACCTATTGTGTAATGTTGAACTTTGAAATTTTATGAGTAAACATGTATGGTTGAGTCTGACATTGTGTTTGTTTTTATTCGA